AGCTTATTTAGGCTAAGAAAAGCTATTATTTTCTTATTAAAAGTAATAAGTTAATTAATATACTTATTTAATAAGTATATTTAAGTAACTAATTTCTAAAAGGTAAATTTAAGGTAAAATTAGCTAAAAACTTAGTATTTAAGCCTTTTATAAGTATTTATATAGCTTTTATTAGCTTAATATATTATAAATAAGGGTTTTTAGTTAAAGTAAGCTTCTTTTATAATTTTATATATAAATCCCTTACTAAAAATAGGTAAGCGCTATAATTATACGTGTTATACAGCCATTTTAGTTAGCTTGTAGTCAGCCGCTGCGTTTAGGATCAGAGCCTTAATGTGTCTGGTCGTTCTACTACCTTCACGGAGGAAAGCCGCAAACCCCGAAAACATTCGACATGCCCGTGATTTTGGCGCTACTATGTACCGCCGTTTACTCCGTACTGCAATGCGAAGCCACCATTTGCAGTGTAAGTGAGAGACACAAGGCTACCGGGTGCTTGCGTGGACAAAAATGTGCATGTGGACGAAGTGGACAGCCCGCAACCATGGCTTATCAGTCGCTGTGACTCACCAGACATCACATCGTTGACAAACACGGCGAGTAGCAGGGGGAGTTTGATGGAGACTTGACGAGGGAAAAGAGGGGTCTCTGATGCTACAGTGATTTGTAAGCCATATTGGCATAAAATCACCTTCAAGTTGCCGATGGGGTGCTTTTGGGCTTTTTGTGCTGGCTGGCAATCTTCTTGCGGCTTGTGGGTGTCTGGTGGGCGGCGTTGGAGGAGGCGAACTTTCATGGCTGATTAATTGCACAAGACGGTTCATGTATGGAGTAATCGAACTGCATCGGCCCTGTCCCTTTCTTTAGGACGTCTCTTATTGGTCGCAGGCTTGGTGTGCTGCGATAATTCATTGGCTCACGACTTTCTCAACTCCCGTACGGAGTACGGAGTAGATTACTGTCGACGGTATGCTGTCACCCTCCATGATAGATGAAGGTTTTCCATCTCATTTGCACGAATATTATAAACTGCATTGTTGCGTCAGCGGATTGTGCATGCAATGTTCAAAACCCAACAAATGCGATGCAGCTATCCACGCTTGTAGTCTCGCGAGTTATTACCATTTGACGATATAATGTAACACGCTATCGTTCCCAAGTTTCGACCACGTTGTCATGCTCGACAACTCAATCTCCGTCATGACAAGTCATATGTGCCGCTCAATGGTGCCCATGCTGTCCCGATTTACCTGAAGGTCCAGCAGGGTGGGATAAACAGCCAGTCTCTTGATACCTTACCCATATATTACCCGACAACCATGGACTTCCCCCAGAGCGTCGCAGTGGCGTGGCTCCAAGACCATGATGCAGTTTTCCACTCGTATCTGACAGAAAGCGTCTCAGTTCCTGTGCCATATCAACACCGGGATTCTGCAAGTACCCTACTAAGCGTGCCGCCTGGTCATATTCGTTCCTCAAGCAGCAGCATCAACAGTGCCACCCACGGCATATGGTTTGAAGAAATCCTCATTATTGCCCATTTCCTCCTTGATCTGGGTGGCCATGTCAGCAACTGGAGTCATGATGAAGTGTCGTGAACGGTAGCAAGCAGTCGTTGATATGTCACTTACAATATCCAAACCACCAACAAGCTCGCCATCAATCCACAACTGAGGGTAGGTGGGCCACTCCGCAAATTCCTTCAGACCTTGCCGAACCTCATCGTCTGCCAAAATGTTAAAGAAGCCGTACTTGACAGAGTTTTCTCGCAAGATGCCAACCATCTGCCGTGAAAAGCCGCATTGAGGGTCACTAGGAGTTCCCTTCATAAACAGCATGACAGGTGCGGCCTTGACAAGATCGGCCAGGCGCTTGAAGAGCTCCTCCTTCTGCTTCTCGGGATCGACATTCGCCCCGTCCGTTTTGGTAACCGGCGCATTGGTCTGGTTGGTACCGTTGACAGCGGCGGTCGGCGCAGATGCGTCCTTCTGGGCATTCGTCTCGATGGCGGTTCTGACTTTGACGGCGCTGCTGCCGCTGACAGTCTCCACGACCCGACCGTTTCGAATGAGGACAAGGAACGGAACAGCGGTGACATCATAGGCCTCGCTGATATCACTTAGCTCCTCGGCGTTTATAGATACCCATTTGGTGTTCAAAGGGTCTGTGACGGGATATTCTGATGCGAGGGTGGAGAGGACTGTGGCCATCTGAGCGCATGGTGCTGCCCAGGGTGCGTGGAAGGAGACCACCAACAGGGTCGAAGAAGGCAGGGAGGCGAGAGTCTCATCCCACTGCGACTGAGTGGTAATCTCAGTGATGGTTGACATGTTGAATGATGAAGGGACCCTGTAGGCCTAAGCGATGTATCATGTATCGTGCACACGTGCTGTCTGTTATCTGTGGCGTTAAAATGCGGTGCGGTGCGATGAATAGAAGCAATGATCGTTTGGATGATGGAAATTTGGCGGGGCAACTTTTTGATTTAGAGGGACTCGAACTTCGGGGGACGGAAAAGAAGGCCCTGAAGGAGGGGCAATGGCGGTAGCCTGTGGTTGGATGGCCTTGCGTCATTTTGGTCGCATGGCATTGGACCACTCGGCGGCAAGTTCTGGCGTGGCCGGAAACCAGCGAACGTGAAGGGCCGGATTAGACATCAATTGAAGGGATCCACGGTGTCGCCAGCGATCATATATTCGGACTCGAGATGCTGATGCGTCCCTGCCTGGGTGGTTGCGTGGATGCGTTGTTAATTTCATGACATGTCGCTCGCGCAGAAGTCGCAATGAGGGCGGTCTGACGGAGCCGGCCTGAGGGGAGGTACACTCGCGACATCCAGCTGGCCGAAAGAGAGGGAAAACCAGTAACAACAAGACTGAAATTGATATAAATCCAATCGACATCACACATTGATGCGATGCAGGCGTGCATGGCAGGTCGAGTGCCTGCTTAAGTACCTCCCAGGTACCTACTTAAGTACCTACCTAGGTACCCTACTTAAGTAGGATACCTTTTGCCTCGCATTCTCAAGTGCTACGTCTGAGGATCCCGACCCGCTTGAAGCTACCGGACTCCGTACTTCACAGCCGCCTTCAGCACCAAGCTCCGACA